TGGAATCGCCGCTCTCACCACCTTTGGCGAACATATACATGAACAAAATATAAGAGAACTTCAAAATGGCACCGCTACAACCTGTAGTGTTTATGCTCTATCTGGATGATTACTTCGCACTTTGGTCACATGTAGGATAAAAACTGGAAGTTTCTGAAGTTTGTAAACTCGATTGATAAAAAAATTAAATTCACGATGAAAGTAAAGGAAGGTGAGAGGTTACCTTCCCTGGATGTTGAAGTGATTCGCTCTAATAAGACGCTCAAAAAGAAATTTTTCAGAAAGAAGTCTTATGCTGGGATAATAGCCAATTTCCGGTCCCGTCACAATTACAGGCTAAAGATAGAAATAATGAGGAGCATGATCATCCGAAGCCTATGCTTAACGGATGTAGAATTCTAAGACAAGGAGTTGGACAAATTGACTAGGATATTCCTCGGCAGTGGCTACCCATGTAAAGTAATAAAAAGAAGCATACGGGCCGTAAAAAGCCGATTGCAGAACGGGGACTATGAAGGAACAGTAGGGGTCATAAAGGATTCACAAGTGGATATGCCTGTCTATGTGATAGTTGAGTCATCTATACTTGTGTTTTATGCAAAGTAATTGCTATATTTAGACATAGACTGAACCAGGTGCCGGAAATGATGACAATTTTCAGACTACTAATATCAAAAACAGACAGTATATACAGTTAAAGATATCTAGTTCCAAAGTAATCTTTCGCGAAATGCCTATATAAATTAAAAAGCAAAAATAAAATGAGAAAATGTATGTAGTGTATGACAGCATACCTGTAAGTTATCGCCCGATGGCTGACGATTACCCTTAGAAATGAAATCGCCACGAGAGTTCTTTAAAGAAGTTTCAGAATTATTTATTTGCTTAGATGAGGCCTCAGAATAACTCGAATCAGAAATTGGTGTTGATTGTTTGAGACAGGCTTCAACCAATGACATGGCATTTTTCACCTAGATTCGAAAAATGTCACAAGATTTTAGTAAAATAATTGACTTTGAACAAGAAGTAAGTTTCGCACAATTTTACTAATATAATATCGTTTAAAAATAAAATATGTAATTGTCTATTGACTGAATGAGATACAAAATTTATAAAGCATTAAAGTCGCTGAAGCGTTAAAAATTAAACTTTTAAGAAATAGAGTACATTCCGAATTTATTTTCATCGACGGCTTGAAGGAAAACAGTGGGTCAAATATATAAAACTATGAAAGCCACGAATAATGGAAAATGTATTGTGAAGAATGAAAGCTCAAAGAAATATATTCCTTATAAATTGTTTTTAAAGTCATCGTTCAAGTTTGAATCTACCATATTATGCAGGCTGGAAAAAAGTGCATAACAAAGAATCCAATAATAAATTATTAAAGCTTTAAGACCCTCTGTTACGTAATATAAGTTAAATGGAAGTGATTCGTTGGTTGATCTTGCAAGAGGCCAACAAAAATTTGTCTTAAAGTTATGATTTGTGAATCGGGTACATTACCAAGTGAGTCAGTGTCTAGGTCTTGTATGTCCAGGAAAGAGATCAAAGGAACAAGTCGTTCTTAAAAACCTAAAGCAGACTTGTTAATGCAAATACCTAATTAAAAATCAAATCATAAACATATAATCAAAGCCTATTCAGCATATGCTATCAATAGGACGAAAATCGAATTACATCAACAGGTAACATGGTGTAAATTTCTCCATTACTGAATAACAAACCTTCTTTGTGCCTCATGAAGTTGCCATTACAGCTATATGCGAAAAGATAAACGCGGCTTAAATGGTATAAAGTAAATAGAGGGTTACGGAGGATAAGTCGTCTTATTTGAAAGTTAAAAAATACGAGCATGATTGGGTAATTGCAGTGAAGTATGTGGCATAATGACAAGGAACAAAACAGAAAATACTTTATAATTGAAGGCTAATTTAGATTATATTCATGCTGAAACAGTCCTTGATATAAGCTAAAGCAAATGTACGATCGTAATATCAAATAAGATAGTCTTAACAAGCTTACAAATAAAACATGTTAAAAAAACTAGATTGAACGGTGGCTAACAGCAACAACTACAAGCTAATAAAAATGAGAAATATCTAGTCTTGCTAAATACATGATTAAGATGCGAAATAGCAAACCAGACTGCATTATCCTAGTCTTCCTATCCAAACTTAAAATACTTAGGTGACTTAGGTTCCAAATTCCTTTCCCTTCTAGATTAAAAGTTGAATGCAATAATTTTATGTATAAAGGAATGATTTTGTCACTCTCTTCTGGCTGCATTTTTCAAAGCCAGGTGCCTAATTGCTCATAAAAAGAATTGGGTTGGAACTTTCCTAATTGATGATTCAAAAAGTAGTATGTTGTTAAAAAATGCATATTGCTCACTCAGAAAAGAATAGTAAACGTTGCACAAACACAGGTGTCAAGTAAAATTAGTATTCTATAAAACCAAGTACAAAAAGAATATAGAAGACCCAATTACCTTGTGGAAAAATAAGATGAGCGATCGCCAAGCTTTTTAAGGCTATTCTTACTCTATTTCCAGTTCAATTTATAATCTATCCATAATTCCTAATATGATATACACGTTCTTGCATTGGCACAGCAATGATTTTTAGCTAAATAATACGATTAGTCATTAACGTTTATTAACCGACTTTTTTTTTAAAAATTGTTATTAGCCTTTTACCTATGATAGAATAGGTGATATTTAATATCGGTGTAATGAATAAAAAGGATATGACACAAAATAATTATCAATCTATTTCTGTTATGGATATTTATGGCCAAATGTCGGGGGATGAATAAATAAAAGTATAATAAGAAGGCTTTCCATTTGGGCAAACACTAAATTACTACGAGCAAAATCAGTAATCTTTAATCAAAATATCTCATCAAGTAGAAGCTGTCTATTATTGCTATTAATAAAATTATTCAAAGTCTATTATGTGGATCAAGCAAAATTTATCTGTGTAAGAAAATTGTCTTATATGTAACTCGACTATTTGGCAAATTAGCAGGTAAAATTTAAAATGAGGACTTTTAATTCAAGGATAAGACAATAGAGAAATGGATTTTCGAAAAATTCCCTAATAGAATAATTTTTGCATACCTTTGATTTCATTTGAAGTTGCAAGTGGAAGGGATTCGAAAGTTGGCCTCGCCAGAAGCCGAAGGATTGCAAAGAGAGGAACAGATTAGGTAGATATGTGTACATGAAATCAAAAAATGCAAGTTTCCTTATGAATTTTTTTCCAACCATACTTATGGGGTTAGAATAGGAATTATGAAGTATATGATGAGTTTTGCAGATGTTGATCATCGAGATCAGGAATTGGGACGATAAGGGAGAAATCCAGTTTAGAATAATTATCAACTATGATTGATTCACAATTATTTTGGAATGTATGGAATGAAAAGCATATTTGGGGCTAGATAGAAGACTAGACCACGCTACCACCAGGTTCATGACGCTATTCTTTCTGCTCTATAAAAGACTAACTGTCCTCGGTAATGCCTTTTAGAAGAATAATCTAACTTCTCTTCAGGTCGAACTGTTACAAAATTTTGTCTTAATGTAGTAATGCCTGAGAGACGCGTAGGCCTGTACATGATAGTTTACCCAAACGTAAAACATAAAAAGGTTTGTGCGTCCAAAGATCGGAATTGGCGGAACACATGGCTCAGGCAGGACGCCAGATAGACTAGTTTAATACCAAAGGCGTAGGTGTAAAAAGAGACAAACAGTACGCGGAAAATTATGAAAGCTAAGTAAAAATAAAAACAGCCAACACCACGAATAGGAGAAAAAGAAGTACCGTCGAGAAAGAATGCTTGGTTAGCCTCGAATCCGGTCTTTACTTCCGCACCTCAAACACCTCAAGAGCATTGCATGCACATAACGCACATGCGATAGAAGAAGCAATCATGTGAGACGACAGTGCAGGAACAAAAATATAGGGTATTCAGCTTTTCGACCATAAATGCAACCATTTTATGTCTCATCTGCAGCTACTTCCTATGTCATCTGCAGCCACTTCAATAGGTCAAGAGGAATCCGCCTTCGTCTTCTGGTGGAATCGACCTTCGAGTCTCTTCACCCAACACTTTCACTCGGAATGCAAGTAAACTCAACAATTATAAGTAGTTAGCCGAAGATAAGAGCAAGATGGTGTGGCCTTTTGTGTCGTCGCAATCTCCTTTCGTTGTATATAGGTTGATTAACCTTGTTTTCTTAACTTGGTGATATTGCTAAGACTTAGAAGAACGCACCTAGTCCAGAGTCCATTGTATGCATGATAATTTCCAAAATTAGACTATGGACGTGGTACATTCACAGACATTTCGCCGGCATCGTCAACGAGTCTTGCCATTCTTAGTCTATGATATGCTATGTCCTAATCTCTTGTGACAACTCACAAATGTTGTGGCTCATCATTGAACCTAATCAAAGCAAGAAGTACCAAAACATTTGTAAGTTGACATGCATGGACATAGTAAATCATAGATTTGGTATTAGGGATAGAAACAGAATAGACGCGGCGGAGACTAGAGCTAGTTGGCTGATAGTAGGCCTGTTTTACCATAGACGTGGTCCATATAGCAAAGACTTGACCATGAGACTTACTCAGAGGCTTTAGCCTCGAATTAGTTACCCAGACGCAGGGGATGGGTAATAATGCCTCGAGTAGCACAGATGAGGTGGCAGGGGTCGAGTAAAATACTTGAATCAAGGAGATAGCAGACGTATCCTACCAGGCAAGAGGGAGACTGATAAAACCTCTGGAATGAAGACTGCGTAACACTATGACAGACTCTGATAAACATTCCCAGCACAAGGATGAAGAGGTGTGAGAGCGCCAGCGTGGAGTGTGGATGGTCCTCATGAAAGCCGCTCAAAAAGGCACATCACACTATATTTAAATAGGCAAGGAAAAATAATGATAGTAAATGCGTGATACGAGGATATAGAAGAGATGAATAGCCCAGGACAAAAGGAGAAATACCCCCTTTGGTCAAAAGGATCGGCTTCAGTTGTCTCTTGGACGAGTTGTAGTATGGTGCTACGAATGGCAAGACTCACTGACGATGCCGGCGAAACGTTTGGGAATGTACCACGTCCACGATTCAACTTTGGAAATGATCATGCAGACAATGGACTCCGGATTAGGTGCACTCCTCTAAGTCTTCCTACCATTATGAACAAGTTGCGAAAACATGGACAAACAATTTATATAAGTAATTAGGATTGCAACCGGCCACCTTTCCTATCTTGGTGCCTGGTAAAATATTGTAAAGCATGATATCGTGCTCTGACGATGTCCGTCAGAATGATGAAAGCTCAGCAAGGATTCATCGAGATCACGGAGCGATACCACGAGGACTTATTAGCATACATTTAGTCTACGCTCCAAGAAAAACGTCTTTCGGCTTTTGATGAGGCCAACTTACAAATCACCTTCACTTGCCTCTTCAAACGAAGTTAAATGTATATCAACGTCAATAGATAAATTGATTTTCTCGAATTGAAAATTTTGCCATACTCTAATTGCTTGTATTAAATTTGCATATAGCCGGAATAGAAGAAAATAACCTACTGGAAAGGGTTGATTGCTTTCGTAAATTACATAGCCATCCACACAGTGAGCGAGTAAAAGACGCTCGCCAGGACCATAATGGATGAGAGGTGTAATCTCTGTTTCTATATGATGACGATTAGGCTCCGATAGCGTGCACCAGGGAAGCACTCGTTTGGCATCCAAGGCAGAGGTCGACACATGCACCATATGATTTTCCTTATCCTTATCATCATCACCATCGAAGCGAAGACGGCTGGATTTTTTATGATGTCTACCCTCCCTTGTACGACGTAGATAACGCCCACAGTAACGAGTTCTGACCATGTTAGGAAGTTGTAATCTGTCGTCGTGCATAAGGGGCGATTTGAGTTGGAGATTAGCATCTAAATCCCGATTTGTCTTTTTAGAAGTTGAAGCTACAGGTGCTCGACAAGAAGGATGAGAATCTCCGTCCAAAGAACTAGCCTTTCTGCTGCTACCACTACAAGTGCTTTCCCCGCTAGGGTGACGAGAACGCGATTTCACTACATTCAACCGACCAAATTCATCTAATTTGCTTTGCAGGGACCCAGTAGAATTTTCAGGATTAGAACTAGACAAGGATTTTGAATTTTTGGCATGGATGGCTGGCCGTAAATCTGCTGCTTGGCATTCAGTAGAGCGAGTGCATCTTGCGGATCCAGAATTCACGGATCCTTTGGTTTCAAATTTTTCAGAATCATCCTCATCGTCATCACCTTCGCCATCGTAGTCTTCATCTTCTCGGTCAGAAAGCGAGGATGAAGTAGAACTGGATGAGGTAGATGGAGAATTAGAGGAGGGTGAAGGAAAGGAATGACCAGATGAATTGTGTGCTGAAGACGTATAAAGCCGAGGTATCGGTTCTTGAGAAAAAAGCTGAGATCCAGGCAATCGAGATAAGACTTCAGAATTTTTAGGAGAATCAGGTGAAACCAGATGGGAAGTAGAACTTTTTGAAACAGAATCTGGAGAGTTAACTACGTTGGCAGGAATATCCATAGAGTTGACTATAGATGTGGGGGCTGGTAGAGAAACAGAAGTAAAATTCAGCCACGGATCTGAAGATGGCATAGATTCGGAGTTATGAACTGTAGTCGATGATTCAATCAAGACAGGTTTAGTGGCTTCATCGGGTGACTCGCTGAGGTAATATCAAAATAATAAAGATTAGAAGTTGTGAATAAGTTAGGCTCTAAAATCTGATCATGAAAAACAGATTAGAAGTTAGGGGCAACATGAATAATTATAAGAGTAATTTAATGAAGGGATTTAAAGATCAATGAGTGATATGGAGGCTGAGAATGAAATATAAACCGAAATTATAATTGGCAATTAATCCAATATTGTAAATGAATCCACAAAATGAGGAAATGATGCATGATAAAATAACAGTAACACATCAAACATAGATGTGGGTTATTCACTTAATAATATAATTTTGAGGTCTGAAAGAACTAAACGATATAATTTGCTACTTCAATGTACAGGTAAGTGAAATCGATACGAATCTGGCCAAATATCCATTTCTTAAGTTCCCTCTGGTATGGCCCAGAAATAAAGGCATGATTTTGTATTTTAAAAAAAGAGAACCCCTGAGACAGCATAGCATAATAATACTGTCATAACAAATGAAATTCCTTATGTCTTATTCGTGAGAATATTAGTGCCCCGTATAAAGGCAATTTATTTCTATAAGGTTAAGTATTTGTACGAGGCTCCTGGACATTAAGCAGACTTCAATGATTTATAGGTTAAAAAAGCAGAAGCGGAACATATGAAAAATACATGACACTATATAGGCTAGTCTAAATCAAACCGTCTTAAATTGTGAAATACGCACTAATAGTACAGATAATTTAGGAAAGTGATGGAACCTTTTGTCAAATCTGCATCAGATGCACTCATGAGTAAGTATTTAGGGAGAATAAAATAGGAAAAAATGATCGAATAACTTGTTCATAAAATTAATTTGCAAATAGAGGATTGCAGCCACCATTCATAGCCTAATATTTGTTGAAGTTTTTGAAAAAATGGCTTCTCTCTCAGGCGATGTGGTATGACATGTAAATCAGAAGTATGATTTCCTATTTAGAGCGCAAGGAAAATATTAATTGTTTGAGGACATCAGTGTGGATATATAAAATTTAGGCCAAAGTTATGCATATAAATTACTAATTCTCGAAGGTGCCAAAGCATGAAACAGCGTTTACAAGAGCTCCGCAAAAACATGAAAACAATCCAATAACGGGGAAATTTTATTTGACTCGCTTCTAGCTTGATGACAAAAGGGAACAAAGCATATAAAACAAGATGCAGAATTATAAAACGAATAAAACTTGAATTAGAGCCGAGTTATAGCTTGATA